CCCCAGGCTTCAGGCCAGAGTAGTAATGTCACTCATAAAATTTCATATAGCTCTGATTAAAATGTTCAGGTAACTGGGCCCATTTATTCTGCACACTGTGAAATTGGCCTTATGCTGTGACAATCTTTGAGTCTAGGCTCTGTTTTCCTGAAATCTTTAAGTGGAAAAAAATTTTCCTTAATATGATCACTTAACAAAATAGTTGAGATAAAGAATCGAGTAGAAGAAAATTACAAGAGAGGGACCAGAAAATGGGTCTAATTTTCTAACTTTTGCACGCCCCTGAAAGAATGCATATGAAAAGCCGAGCAATCATCACGGTTTATCTCTATGTGACATTTCCAAATGCTATTTATACATTTTCTGGGTCAGTCTTTTATGAAAATAGCCATGTATGCCAGCTATCTAATGACCTGGCATTTGAAACCAATTCAATTTATATGTTAAATTTGATGTTAGGGGAAAACCAATACACTTAGCACATTTTTGTTCTGTAAGACTAGTTGTCATCTTAATTTGTCTGGAAACATCTTTTTATTTTCCTGGAGTATCTCATGAGATATAAAGTAACATAAATCATTCTAGCTTTTCCACTATTGGGAACTACTTTTAAAGGTAAATTTTGGCCTAGTCAATATACATCACACTGATACATATAAAAAAAGCACCAGCAATGCCCTTAATGTTCTCCAACAACTATCTGCATCTCATAGGGGAGTCAGAAATCAGCTGTTGCAAGTTAAGCTGAGCAGCAATTGAAAGCAGCACTGTTTTCTAATTTGTTAGCAAAGATGGAAGGTTTACAGTTTGCATTATGTTGGCACTAAGTCTCCTCTCTTTTCTATTCCTGAATTTTTCTGCAGGATTCATGGGATGCTAAAGTGCCTGAAAAGGATGTCCTGAGTGTGACATATTATTACACCTCCTGGACCCTTGTACAATGACATTTTTTTGTGTTTTTCACCTGAAGTATGAATGAGAGAAGGAATCTACTCCATTTAGAGAAAAAAAAAAAAATCTCATTTAATATTGCTTCAAATGACAAAATTAAATGTCTCATTTAATATTGCTTCAAATGGGTAAGTCAAAAGGGCAAGAAAAGTTAGGACCACTCCTATATTTTGTTTGTTTCCATCTACTCAGAAATACATGACAATGCATCAAGGCACTAGGGATCTTCTCCACCAGTTTGCACATATGGGCTGATGTCAACATGTAACTCAGAGCATGGGTAACAGCATGTGTGCTGTATGGCTATTTTCAGTGACTGTCCAAAAAAGATGCAGAAAATATTTAGAGTATTTTGCGTTATATAAATTCTTACAAGCAGCTGTGTTATGATTTTTATTTAAAAAGTTTGTTGGCAGATTTCTTGAGATTTTCAGAGTGCATCAAATCCTCCAGAAATCACAGAATTATGAATCACAGAATTATTTAACAAGGAGTCATATGTGTTTTAATTTTGGATCCCGTGTTTGGTCTTACCCATGGAGTGGGAAGAAATCCTAGGGAGTGAGCTCTGTTCACTTGTGACTGCATCCAGGGAACCACAATCTCTTTTCAAAGATAATTCAGATATAGATCTTTGTTCCATTTCCTGATAAATTCTGCTTGGTGTGTATAGATCTCATTTAACAATTTAAAGTTGTTAAAGAGATGTTAAATAAATATAGCTTTATTCAAAAACATTTTGATCCTCTTTTTTTTTTTATTAAGCAGTTTTGACAGATTACATTATCCCACCTAAACTTATGAATCACAGGAGGCTGATATTCTCTACATACCCTAGATATCCTATTCACCTTTCTGGAGAGGTTCTCTACAGAGAAAGGAGCATGTAACCACAGTGTCTTTACCATTTGACAAGCATTGTCTCTTTAAATTCCTTTTAATTTTTGTAATCTTGGTAAAGAAAACTTATCACTTTGACTACACCACCCAAATGCTGACAATGAAAAGCCTCAAACCTTCTTTATGGTGCATGACAATGAGCACAGAGCATACAAAATATTTGTTAACATACTAATAATGTCTATTATTGCTTAATATGCTTGTAAACCCAGTCTTAAACAGAAAATTTTAAAGCAAAATAAAACTTCATGAACTTTATTTTTCTGTTTTATTTAACACTGTCTAAAAGATCTGTAAAATACTGAAAAATTTTGTAGGCTTATTTTGCAGTTCTGGTTACATTTTAATCACATTAAATGCTAAAAATAGTATTCAGTCACACAGTAATTCTTTTGTTACTTATATTTTTTTATTTATACTACTAGGATGTCTTTTGTCTTCCAAGGTGTCAAAATTATGTGTAAAAAGTAAAATGTTGAATGACATCTTATTCTTCTTCTAATGTTTAGTCAACAATTTTAAAGTTACAACAGCAGTCATTCCCTAGTTATTAAAAAAAATATAGAGTGCCAATGAAAAAAAGAGTTTTCCCTCCAAAAATTTAACATTGTATCAGAGTACATGTATTAGAGTTCTCCCTCAAGTCTTAGCAATCTTCAGGTATCATGTTTTTAATTTCAGTGCTGTATTTGCAGATGCAAAGTCTTTTATTGAGGCTTTAATTTCTTTGTTTTTCTTATACTTTTATGTTAATTAAATATCCCTTTTTCCTTAATTATGTTTTCTCAAAAGAAGATTGCTTTAACAGTTATGTCAGTGGCCTAAGATTGAAAGATTCTAATTTAATACCATGGTCCTTGCTATGTTTGTGTCCCTAATAAAAAGCCTGGGAGAAATGTTCTTTTGCAAACATTGTTAACAGTTACATCTTGTTAGCAGCAGCAACTGCAATTTCTTTTGTGCTGCAGGCAATGTACATGCAGAGAAGAGACCTTGACACGTGTATCCAAAGCAGAATTATGTCCCCGGTCTGTCCCATGTGGTCTTGAGCCACATCAGCTTTCTCTGCATGGATGTGTACCATGTCTGCTTAGCAGGGTCTGCAATGGATAACCAGGATAGCTGAGATGGCCATAGACACTCTCTGGCCCTTTGATTCATCCATTTGCAGAAACAAATATGTTGTTGCATAAAGAAAATTGGAAGGACAGATAAGAAAAATATTGTGACACATCTCACTCCCTTTAGCATCAAAGGGGTTGGAACACAGTTGAAATTGAAAAAAGTTAAGGAACTGTGGTGGAACCTATCTCTACTGCCTGTGGTAAAAATCAAAGCTTTCTGTGACTTACAAAGTAAAAGGAAAATAATGTCTTTTACCTAAAAAATATCCAATATTTTAAATCAGTATTATCTATTGTATTGTTAGATCTGTTGGCAAAATTATCTTATAAATTAAACCCATTTAAGAAATAGCCAAATCTTTCTGATTAAGCTAAACAAGAAGATTCCAAGCGTATTTTTAGAAAATATGATGAAAAGACCACACAATGGAAATTTCATCCAAAAGTATATACATAAAAAGTATCAAACCAAATAAACCAAAGAGTAATGATAAAAAGCAACAAGTAGCTTAAACCACAGACATCATTAAAGTTATGCCTGTATAGCATTTGATACATTATTTTCTTATTTCAATATCAAATTATGCTGATACAGTCTGAAAACTACTTCATATCAGCAATTGTAAAACATTGTGACACGTGAAAGTATATAGACTTCATTTTTAGGATACTATACATTTTTAAGTTTTGAATATAAAGTGTGCATTATAGTTGCATAAATTACCTTACACTGGGTAAAAGAAGTTAAATTTTGCTTCTAATTATGCATGGCTTTCCTCAGTAGATTTGTGACTTTGTTCGTTAAATTTAAACTACTTTTCTTTGAGTATTTTGTGAGCAAGGCCCTCTCTCATCCTCTCTTCATTACCTTAAAATAAGTCCAAGAATAGATTTTCGTTATCTAGCTCTTTCATTGATGCATTTTTTATTCTGTAAAAATGCAGAAAGTCTGAACTCCTGTCACAGCCCTATATTCATTTTATGTAAGTGCTTGGTTCACCACTTCCAACAGAAAAATGCTGAACATTGAAATGTATCTTCATAACTCCTAAAACTGAGTCCACAGATCAATTTTTGCACCATAGTGCAAATTCATCCAGGTGTAAAAGTAAAGTAGTTTATCTGAAGTGCTTTTGCAACCATAACTGATTAGAAGTAACAGTCTATAAAAAAATAATATTATAATGCAAAAGCTGTGTAATTCCCACCAGTTTCATGGCAAAATAATTTGCAGAAATGAACAAGTTGACAGACATTCAGTATTTTAATAACAAATCAACAACTATTAAATATCTCTGGGCTATACTTTACTGGATGTGTTTTGGCTAGAGTCTATTTGAAGAGTCTGAGCTTTAAAAGTAAATTGTAGCTATACGTCCTAATAGAAGAGTTACAAAAGAAATATGCAATGCAAATATTTTGCCTGTGTATGTAATGCACTATTATTTGTAAAACTCACTTGCTAAGAAATTGCCATTTCACCCTCAAGATCTGACAAAAGTGGAGGCACACATTTTCTGTGGTCTGAAAGACTTGGCAGTTGCTAGCTGGAGATTATAAAAAGAAATGGAAACAGAAATATGAATGAAAACAAGAAAAAAGAAATATTATTTCTGTTTCTGGAGTGAAGAGTAACAAGACAAGGAGTTCCTTTAAAACAGGAGAATTTTCACTCTTGATGCCACACTCAAAAATTGTAGGCAAACATTCATGACAATCACTTGCATAAGTGCAGCTGGGTCTTGCAAAAAACAGATGAACAAAATGATTGAACACAAAACAAGCATAGGGAGTATTTCTTCTGGTAAATCCAATTTATGAATTTGGAATCTTACAGATGCAGAAGTTAGACAGTGGACTCTGAAGAAATAACAAAAGCAAATCTCTCTTTCTAGAGGTTTTGAGGGCCTCCTGGGTTTCTTTTTGCCTTTTGTGTCTTTTACACTAGAGGCATCCAGATAAATGTTTTAAGTTTGATTTTCGAACATAATAAATTAAGAAAAAAAAACCAGAGACATATCTTACCTGTGTAACTTCAGGGCCTTCTAGAGGATTAAAGGAATGGATATTGCAAACAGTTGCATGAAACATGGGATGCAGAGAAGTAAGCAGTCCTGTTTTACTTCAAAAATCCTCAGAAAGCTCTAGGAGTTACAGCTTCCTGCCAGTATAAGTCAGTTCTGCTTTTACTTTTGAAAACTCACAGTATGACACTGCTTACTGCGTGCTATTTTGGGTGCCCTGAGTAAAACTATGAACACAGGCACTTTTGTGCAAAACATCATAAAGCCTCTCTGATGTTCATTCAGAGTCCAGAATTAAAATGCAGAAGGCTCTAGCAAGGAAAATACAAGCTGATTTTCTTCTTCCTAGTGGAAAAATAAAGTACTCCTTGGCAAGTAACCAGGGTGGTGGGAAGGTAATTTATTTTGTGTGAGAGCATTTTGCAAGTGAAAGGGATATGTCCTCTGTTTAGAGATTAGTCAGGGAAAAAAATGGTCAGTTTAGAGCAGTCACAAAAGTTAGTCAAAGAAAAGAGTTTCTATAGTCTGGGTTTTGCCCTCTGGCCATTTTTTTTTCCACCAAATAATTTAGTTTCAAGAATCATACAATCTTCACACTGAGTAAAAAAAAAATATACCCAAGATATTGGTTTATCTTCTTACATGTTTCTAGAGACATTAAATGAATGCCTGTTCTTTTGTTATAATTCTCTGTGGAAATTGAATTTTATCTACTAGCTAGTGTTGGGGTTTTATAGTAAAAAAAAAAAATCCAATTAAAAAAACCCACAAACCCTAAGTAAAAATAATGTGGAATAATTATGCAACAAGTTATAATTTTTCGTAGACATCAGCTTTTATCTTAAGTCAGTTTAGGAAATTTTGAGTAATAATTCAAATATTCATTGTGCTTTTAAAAAAATGAGGATATTTGGAAATAACAAGAACTGTGTATTGCAGTAGCACTTCAGTAATTATTATGGAAGACATGTTTGTGGTGGGATAATTTAGAGCCTAGTGCTACGTCAGTTATAGCTCCAGGCCAAGAAGATTTCTGAGAAATCCTAAATGGGAAAAAAAAAATATATATATATATTTTTTCTGACATAATGTGTCCTGTTAATGAAAAAACTAAAACTAAAAAAGCTCCAAGCCAACCATCTCAAGAAAATTCTCTCTCCCTTTTTCTTCTTCCTCATATAACCTCAGAAAATTTAATAACTCTTTCTATGTGGAAATGGAAAACTTCTTGTCTGTACCTCTGTCACATATGTTGTCCCTTTTCTTTCTTTTTTTTTTCTTAATTTAATTAAATAAGTTGTGGACAGCTCTTCAGATCTTAGTCAGATGTTCAGGGATTTCATGGGTTGGACATGAGAGATGAGGAAATGTGACTCTTTAGCATGGGCAATGCTATCAAACAACATGATGAGACCATGGTCTGCAAATGGAACAGTTCTGGTTGATGCAGATGTGGACTCTGGTGCCTTAGCTATTGCTGAATCCCAGTTTAATGTATTTACATCTAGATGTCAAGGTCAAATTAACATATACCAAATAAACACAAGACTCCCCCTCATATCATAGATTTTAAAACTTGAATTGAATGGTCTTGAAGTAACAAAGGAAAACTGTCCACCCATCATGTCCATCCTGACAGAGTCAGAAGGACTTGTTCTCTATAGGAAAGTATGATGTAAATTATCTGAGAAGCTGGATTTTTGTAGGATTATTCAGAATCACTTGTGAGTATTTTGAGGATAATCTCCTGAAAACTTCTTGAGGATTATCTCATTTTAATTACTTTAGTATAGGTAACATAATTTCTGTATCAGGCTGGAAATGAATACAGTTTATCAATTTATATACAGTTTTAGCATTAGAGGTAGATAGATCAGCTATTTTTTTTTTCCTCAAATCAAATGAAACATCATAATGTTTAACAGGTTAAGGTTCTTTGACAAAACTTTGTTCCTTGTACACATTGTTACATTATTTAATTATTCATTAACTTATTAGATCAAAAACAAGCTGTCAGATATTTACTTCTGCTGCTCTTACTTCAAGCATTTTTTCCTGTGCTAGAAAAAAATTGATTTGTCTAAATCTTGACATTAAATTTGAGTAAGGGAATTAGAATCAACTAAGATCACATCTTCATATCTTCTACATCAAGCTTCATTTTATGTTTGCTTTTTTGTTTGCTTGTTTTAAGAAATGAGAATGTTTGGTGAGACCTGCTATTTAGTGAGAATGTTTAGTGAGAATTTACTGTCTATTCATGTTCTGATATCAGCTCTGTACAGATTGAGGTAGAGCAAACCAGAAAAATGTGAAGAGGAGACTGACACTCTCCTAAGTTCTGGAAACTGAAGAAGTGTAATTGGAATTCAGATACATGATACTACTTGCCACCTGGAAAAAACCAGCTTTTCTATGGGTGAACTATGCTTCTCACTGACTTTCTACTAATAGAGAAGGAGTGACAGTTCATTCACCAAGGTAGAATTAACTAGACAAATTAACTACTGCTGACAGTTGGTAAACAAGATATTCTCATTTACTGAGAATGTTGGATCTTGTCACAGGATATAATCTAAGTAAGATGTGCCATGTGAAGCAAACATAAATGAACACTAGAAAGCCAACAAAAATAGAAATTTATTGGAAATTCCTATTGAAGAATTGATGAATGGGACTGGCCAGAACAATAACCAGGTTTTTGACAAGGTGAAGATAGTATACAGCTATAAGAAAAAAGCTAAAGCTAGCTGTATAGGCTGCCCCTTAAAAAAAGAAGCCAAATGAAGGCTGATTCACACAATTATGAGAAAAATTTTCGAACTCAGAAGAAAACACATACTTATTCCCAGTACAATGTTCTCATGTGATAAACAGTCTCTGCTTCTCCTTGTGTAGGCACCTGTTAATGATTAGCAGGCTTTTCAGTATTAATATTAGATGAAATAATTTGGACTGTTATCTGAGAATGAAAACTTGTACCTGTTAGCTCTTTCCTGATCTCACAGACCATGATATTTCTTCTAGAGAGGGACCTCAGCTAAATGGGAGAGTTCAACAGAATAATTCTACTCATCACCTGAGCAAAACCTTTCAGGAGGTTTCGAGGGGTTGAGTAATTTTTAGTACCAAATAAATGAGTTGCTACAGAGAAAACGGGAACTAAAAAATACAGTTAACCTGTTTGGAGTATTTTCTTTCACTGTCTTTATTGCAATTTAAAATAGGAATTTTATCCATCTAAAACATAGAGCCTAAATTAAGTGCTTGCTTAGAGTTAAGAGCATAATAAATTTGGAATTGAAATATCTATATAATTTAAAATATCTATATAATTTAAATCTTGGTTGTTGATCAGCCAACAATAACATGATATTTATTTACTTCTTTTAAATAACCTGAAATATAGTGATCAATCATATTTTATGGATATATCTGTACACGCTATAACGACTTGAAGAGACAGTCTTAAGGATTCAGGTGAGTTAGTTACCTGTATTTTCTTTTTGTTTTTAAAGACAATATATCCCATTTTCCAGAAACTGAACAAAAAATAAAGATGGAAAAACACATGTGAATTGTTTGGTTTTTAAAAAACTAAAGAATACTGTAAAAAAAAATTAAAAGGCTTATTTTTCATTCAAGGAGATGTACTCTTTGACATTTACCTAAGTGGACTGATGTCATAAGATTTCACTGTCTTAGGCTCACTCAGTAAGCTGATATCAGAGTAAGTTGAATTTATTCAGTTAAGGAAAGGAAGTATGGGGAGAGAGGGACAGAATTTCCATCATTTCAAGGGGAATGCTTTTCCTTGCTACCTCTGTCCAGATCATGGCTCCTTGGAATTTGCATTTCAAATTTTCATCAAGCTAAAAATAATTACTCCAGGATAGGTAAATAGCCAGCACAACACTTCTGGAAAGTGGAAATGCTGTGAAAATAGGAGTTTAATTGCACACAATAGCGTGAAGCCATTCATAATATCTGTATCTCTGGACACTCAATACGGAATGGTGGGATTTGCGCTGTTTGTTTTGTTCTCCTATTGTTGAGATCTTTGACATTTCTAGATGGACTTTTTAATGGGGATTTTGATATGCAGCTTTTCCTAAAGCTAGTCTTACTTATAACCACTTAAGGAAGGTATAGCTTCAAGAGGAACCAAGTGGAACCAAGAAAGAACAGAAGTAAGGTCTGGAGGGCTTCATAGGCTGAAATGCAATAACTTTTTCTTCACTCCTGAGCAGTCTCTTGTCACTATACAAAACAAATATATGATGTTGAATGAATTTCTTTTTTTTTTTTTTAATGCCTCTGATTTTTTCCCTTCCTTTCATCTTTAATAATTTGCAACTATAATTCCATTCCCACTAAAATATCTTACAAGTCAGATTCTGGAAGAGAAGATAGAAGTTACACATGAGTCACTGTAAATACAACAATAGATGGATTGATCTACAATATTAATGAGAGTCTTTTAAATTGAATTATCTGGAATCTATTTAAAAATAATTTTGTGTCTTTTCTAATATTATTTAATGATAATCTTGTGCAATTTTTTTTGCTTTCTGTGAAATGATTATTTTTTTCCAGAGGGAGAAAAGTTTAATGAATTGCAGCAAAATATAATTACTTATGTGTGTACTTATTGGCTTGTGTGAAAAATCTGTGGAAATGGTGCATAACCAGTCATTAAAAGAACCTGAATATCTCACAGTAATCAGATCTTTCCAAAGACGTTTCCCTTCTCTTTTACTTTCCTTTACCCTTTCCTTTATTTTTCTCAATGAATACTGTTATGATATAGTGTCTTTTTCCACTCTGTTTCTATCCCCACCAGAAGATAGAACCAAATAAGAATGAATTCAGAGCAGGTAAATCTTCTAGATGATCCCCTGAAGGAATGGGAATGTCTTACTATTAAACAGTGTTTAGATATAAATTGAATAAAATAGGAGATGTCATCTCTTCTCTATCTTTAGCCTGAGGTTTCATGCTGATGATCAGATCCTAAGAGTCTGAACTGGGTTGGTATCTGTAAGTAACTAGTTCATATTCTCCCTTCTCCTGTAGAGAAGACAGTGCCTGTCATGAAATAAATATCATATGTAGTGCAAGGATCATTTTGTTATTCAGCTGTGAATAACAAAAGTTGTTGAAGAATAGCAAGACAAATATTTTTTCCATTTGTTTAAATAACCTTCATACACTTTTTCATATACATGATCAGTCTCAGTCACCTACAAATGTTTAGAGCTTTTCTACTTTAATGTAAGTAGCAATATAAGTCTTAGTACACCCATTTACATGTAGAAAAAAAATTATGCATGAAAAAAGAAATATTAGAAATATCAAACATATGTTAATGAAGGAAAAATATGATTGTGTCTGATCAGCCCAGTATCCTGATGCATTATAATGTCCCAATTTGAAAATAAATGTAGAAATTAATACAGCTGGAATAGGGACTACAAGGCTTGGGCACTTATGGAACAGACACTTATGTACAAATTTCAGTGGCAGAAAAGTAACCGTGCTGGATTAGTTCAGAAACGCTAAATTAAATTTTCCAGTTTCAGAAATGTCAATGTGTTTTAGTTTGTTTGTTTTATTTTGTTTAATTAATCCTCGTGATATTTCAATTCTGAAAAATGAATGAAATCAAATAAAACAAAATAAAATGAAAGTTCTCATCTGAAGAATTCCATAATGTCAACACTCCACCCCATATTACACCAGCAAAGCTTAAATGATAGCTTGGAAGACAATTGTGAATTTTAAATCCTTTGAGATAAGCTGCTGGGTAAGGATCCTACTCTCATCACTTTTGCCACAAGGAAGATGAAAACAGAATGCAAAGTAGTATTATTATTTGATTTTTGTTAATGGGTACTAAAGAGATTACACAGGACAAAGTACCCTCAATCTATGTTCAGTGTACCACCCTAAACCTCTACCTTATTTTGATTTCTAGGGCATAGAGGAAAGGAGTAGAACAGCTTTTTTTAATTATCTGATTTCTTAGAATGAAAAAGTTGAGCTATTGTATTACACCCTGAGAAAAAGTTTTTCAGCCAGCAAAAATGAAAGAAGAATTTTGCTTTGGTCAACACCAGTGCCACCTCCCATTTTGTTTGGTTTTGGTTTTGGTTTTGTTGTTTCTTTTTTGTTGTTTTTCTTTTTTTTTTTTTTGTCTTTTTTTTTTTCCCTAATAATTCCCCTCCTTCTATCTGTTTTTCTTATTCAGAGAGAAAATTTTTTCCCCTTTTTTCTACATTGAGATTCAGAGGTAGATGCTCAGCAGAAAAGAACTTAATACAGTTTCCAGTTGCACTCTGGGCACATCAATTTAACCTAAAGTGTGATTATAATGACAATTATGCTAACTTGTTTTCTTTCATTTTTACCTAGAGGAACCTGTGACTGGATCTGCACCATCTGCCCTGGGTGGTGGGCCAATGCCTCCACCCAAATGGAGCTGTTGAAGGGGGAATCTCCACTGCAAATGCCAGACTGCAGCAAGTCCCAAGATCTTTCTCTTGGGGTTGCGATGGGCAGCAAGGAGGGGTAATGGCTTTAAGGAGGTGTAATAGCTTTAAAGTGAAAGAGGGTGGATTTAGGTGAAATATCAGGACGAAATTCTTTACTGTGAAGATGTTGAGACACTGGAACAGGTTGCCCAGAGAAGCTGTGCACACCCATCCCTTGGAAATATTTAAGACAAGGTTGGATGGGGGCCTGCTTTAGTGGAAGGTGTCCCTGCCCATGCTGGGGAGTCGGAACCTTAAAGGTCCCTTCCGAGTCAAATCATTGTGGGATTCTTTTCAATGATTCTGTGATCTTTAAATATCAAAGACATGAAAGATAGCACTGAGTAACTGCTGTTTGTAAAATGCTCCTATTTGATCTATGAGCAAGACAGGGAAATGCAAATGTACCTCGCTTCATTGGCCACTGCGTACAGTCTGCCAATTAGACCAGCTGATGCCCTGACGTGAAGTCTACATGACTAACAGCATGGAAATGCATTGACCTCGAAGAGTCAGAGTCAAGCAACAAACAAGACCTTGTGTGACAAAATCTGGGGAGAAAAACGAGCTGGTTAAATGAGATATTTCACGGTAAACTGAAAATATTCACAAAGCCTCTTCCTTTTAAAAACTTTATATCTTCTTGTGTTTTATTCTTTGGTACAAAAGATATAAGTTGTTCCTATGGAATTGTTTCTAGGAATTTGTGTTCTAAATTACCCACTGGAGGGGGAGGAATGTATATATGTATGTAGTTGATAGTGTTGTATCAAAAGGACAATTGAAATATAGTACAAATATAAAATAGAGATTTTAAGTTGTTCTATTTTTTGAAAGGGGGGGTTGTTTTCACAAAACAGCAGAGAATAAGCAGGACAGTTGTGTAATGATGCTGAAGCAATCTTGTGAGGGACAATTTCACAGGATTAAGGAAATTTTCTGCTAGAGGACACAAAAGAATCAAAGGAAAAAAAACTTGGGGAGGAGGTGCAGGGCAGGAAGCCACATCTCCTCTCCACAGTTATACAGAAGTCTGGCCAAAATTAAATATGTGTAGACAAAGTAAGTAGGCTGTGGAGAAAGGGTAGGAAGAGATCAACTGTTCTAAATTAAAACATCCAGTT